AGTCAGGATATATTGCAGAATGCCATGATACACTCAGAGCTACATCATCATTGCTGCTCTGCAGGCCCCTGCTATGGCAGGGGCTTTCATACATCTCTGAATTTCTAGCTAAATACTTGACAGTTAGTATGTGCTCAATAAATGTGTTGAATAACTGAGTCGATGACTCAGAAGAACTATGTTTTCTGTGTTCTCAGAAACTGCTAGAAATGGTCATTTTTGTATTCAGTAATTCAGCTCTTTAATAAAGCACCTATTCTAATAGCCTACACCAAGATTAAGTAGGGATTTTGGATCGTTATTTACTTCTTAGAAGATGAAGATTTAGCTTTCTCAAACATGGTACACAAATAGCACTTTCCTTGTGTTGTTGTTGTTGTTATGTGCCATCAAGTCGGACCCGACTCATAGCGACCCCTCCTTGGGTTTCCAAGGCAGTATCACTACGGAAGTAGATTGCCCCGTCTTCCTTCCGAGAAGTGGCTGGTGGGTTTGAACTGCCAGACTACTGGTTAGCAGTCAAGTGCCTTAGGCACTATGCTACCAGAGCTCCTTTTCTTGTGTTAGTCAGGGCCTTTCATTTTACCTAAAATACCAACCTTAGAAAGAAGATAGCAGTGAAACTTGTCATTGTTTAGAAATTAAATCTTAGTCAACTGGAATTTTTATTAACCTCCTGTATTCCCAAGAAAATACAAATTAATTTTTTTCAATGTATTCTGAAATTAAGCTAGTCAGGCACCACAGGTGAAGGTGGGAACTATATGATGAAATGCCATGATTTTCTCCCTGAGGTGAGGTTGACATGTACTGCTTCCAGAGTAACATTAGATTGTCTAATCAGAGCCGGGAACAACATTGTAATATTGGCTACCCAATTGGGCTGCCTATTTGTTTGATTTAGTAAATTCCTCTCTCTGCTTTTATACATGGTGATCTAAAAAAGAAATATTATTCCCAAGAGTGCCTTTGGAATTGTTTGTTTAAATTAAGTTTCATTTGGATTTAATCTTAACCAAATCTTCAGAGAGTTAGGCGGGCCCTCAGTAATGAAGTGCTATGTGTTTGAACCAATGAAAGGAGCTGCCAAACTGTAAGGATTCCTCTGTAAATGAGTGGGCTTTATAATGTTACACTTGGGTGGCACAAGCCAGTGCTAGATGATTAGTTTATGGTCTAGATCATTGTATTTTTATTACACTCATAAAATCTGTGTTTCTCCTCATTTTCGTAATGGCTTCAATGAGCTTCTATACCTTCTAAAGGCACATTAAATTGTTATGTGATGAAAGTGCCGATTTAGTGAAGCTGGTTTTAAAGCTTAAAGTAAGACACATGTTTTGAATTCTCATCTTATTGTTGGATTAGCACTAAGGAAATGGCAAGTGTATGGGTTGGAGCATAATTCATATTATTTGTGGGCTTTTTCGTAAATACTTCAGTAGGTTCCATTAAATTCCAATATAATTGATACACAATGAAGTGCCTTAAGGGTATTGACTACTCTATGACATGGGAATATAAATCAATATTAAAAGAGGAAAATACTGTGTACATGTCTGATTTTTAAAATGTAATTTAAAGGAGGAATTTAATAACGTGAACTATGAAAAGAAGACATTTTATATTTGATATATGTAGATTTTTAAGTAACAACATCTTAATTGTATTGTTATATCTGTATTTAAAAGAAATAGAAGTTCTCTTGGATACAAAATTTACATCTAAATGCAGCATGAAAAGCAGAGTACTCTTCACTCTTATAATTTAATATACTAATAAAGGTCTACAAATTCTATATCAGTGTACCCCCATAGAATTAATGGTTTTTATAAATGTGCTATAATACAGAGGTTTACAGCCACAAAGTTTTGACTTGTATTTAAAAAGAAATTTGAGTTGGAGTAGTTTTGTGTCTGCATGTTTATATGTATATTCATTTGTTTATTGTGCCTTTGAGTTATTTTTCAGCGTGACCATTCTGAATTATTAAAGTGGTTGTGAGTTTGTGTTTAATTTGAGTAATATGGTCTGGATTTGGGCAAAACTAAATGAAATTCCAGTGGTAAATGTTGCTGTACATAATGTACTTCTAAAAGAAGATTTTCACAAACTGCTTCTGGTAGAATAGCAGTTTTACAAAGCAAAATGTTTCTCTAATCATGCAAAATAATGATAGCCACCGAAAACTGAGCATGTCAACAGATTTCAGTTTGCTTCATGTTGGGAAAGGTGCTTTGGTGGCACTGTGGTTAAAGCATCAGGCTGCTAACCAAAAGGTCAGTTTTCAAACCCACAGCCATTCCACAAGAGAAAAATGAGGCAGTCTGTTTCCATATAGATCTGTAGCCTTAGAAACCCTATGAGGCAGTTCTACTCTGCCCTGTAGAGTCGCTGTGTATTGGAACTGACTCGATGGTAGTGGGCTTTTTGTTTTTTTCACATTGGGAGGTAAGTGAGCATTTTCATAACCACTTCAGCCTACCTGCTGTAGAGAAGAGCACATCAGATTCCACCTTGTATGTTCTGTGTTTCATTACAGAAAGTTTCCCTTACAGATCAAAAGTTGGGAAGCCAAACAGCTGAACATAGAACTGAGGAGCTTTTAAAAGGCATGGAATGAATTCGCTGGATTTTGTTTCTTTTTTTTTTAAATATTTCATGGAAGCATACAAAGTATGGGTCCAGTTTATTCAGAGATTTGAAGGCAGCTGCAGAGTAAAAGTGTCTGTTGAAAATGAAATAAATTTCCTGTGAATGGAATAAATTTTGATTGTGTCTCTGAGTGCAGTAATTATACATGTCACACAGTAATTAGGCAGTCACACTGTGGCCATGGTGCCTTTCTTTGTCTGCAGATGGTCTGGGAGAGCGGCTGTGTGGTTATTGTCATGCTGACGCCCCTCACGGAGAATGGAGTCAAACAGTGCTACCACTACTGGCCAGATGAAGGCTCCAACCTCTACCACATCTATGAGGTACTTAAACAAAACACATCTGCTTGGAAAGTTGACTGTAGGTGCATGGGTTGATATCATACTGGGTACAACATTGCTTAATACCATTTAACTGAAGGTGAAAGCTACCTTCAACCAGCATGAGAGGCATCGGGATACTTGGTCCCAAATTGGGATACTTGCAGCCAAATCTGCAGTAGAATTCTGTACAGATTTAAGTCACTACCACCACAAGACAGAAAGTAGCTAAAAAGAGACATGCCAATCTTTTGGAAGAGGATGGAATAACAAGCCTTATACTAAGAAGGTTAGTGTTTTCAGTAATTAAAGTAACCAAAAACCAAACACCAAAGTCACTGCCATCGAGTCAGATCCAACTTATAGTGATCTCTCCTTGGGTTTCTGAGGCAGTATCACTGCAGAAGTAGATTGCCCAACCTTCCTTCTGAGGAGTGGCTAGTGGGTTTGAACCACCACGTACCTCAGAAGAAAGGCCTGGTGATCTTCTGAAAATTCAGCCATTGAAAACTATGGAGCACAGTTCTGCTCTGACACACATGGGGTCACCAGGAGGTGGGTCCGACTTGAAGTCAACTGGTGATTTTGTTGTTTTTTAAGCAGGTTCACACTGTAGACAGAGATTCAAACTTTTAAAACATCTGTATGGTTGTGAATTAGACTCTCGGGTCAATTGCATGTTTTTCACTTTTAAATATTTATAAATACAATCCTGACAGAAAGGATGAAAAAATATTTACCTCCCGATGGCGGTCCATTGAATCAAGCCCCATATAACAGGCTTTAAATAGGGTCTATTTTTAAAAAGAACCCTGCTATTATTCTAATTGCTTATTGATTTCTTTGGCTGAGTAGTGTGGTCTTTCCATGGCTCTGTTTAGAGTCTTGTGGATGTAGCATTTGACCTTTTTATTTGAGGATAACCTGCTGACAAGCTTATTTCCCTTGCTGGATTTTCTACCCACATTAAGAGTGAACTAAATAAACTTGAGCATTTAAACAAGCACAGGAATGCATCCTTTGGTTCTGTTTGGCATTAAAATTAATCGGAACACTGAAGCCCACAATAGGAAGCATGTTAGAAGCTTAAAGATTAATCCTAAATCACATAGTTGTGGCTTTTAGGTCACTGTAGATAAACTTAAATGTGAAATGTGATTTGGTGGAGGTCTTTATTAATGAAACTCTATGCATCGTTTGTTTTTCTTAGTTCTAAATCCAGGGGTACACTACTTTAGATGAAATTTAAGTTAAAGAGTGACTTACATTATGTGTTCAGCAGAACACATAGATTTATTGGTGTTTTTGTTTCAACAGCCTATGGAGCCCCTAGGTAACACTGGAAACAACAACAAAGTTACATTTGGTTTGAACTACATTAAAATTAAGAGGGTGGGATGGAGCAATCAAGCTGATTGTCAACCCATCTCCGGTATAAAATGGGTCATCTTTGAAGTATTTGCCTGTCTTTCCTCACAAGTAGCCTCATGTTCAGTGATGCTTTAGATTCATGATTTCTGTTTTCCTTTTCCTCCTCTTACATCCATCCAGGTAAATCTGGTCTCTGAGCATATCTGGTGTGAGGATTTCCTAGTAAGAAGCTTTTATCTGAAGAATCTCCAGACCAATGAGACACGAACCGTCACCCAGTTCCATTTCCTTAGTTGGTATGACCAGGGCGTTCCTTCTTCCACGAGGTCGCTTCTGGATTTCCGCAGGTATCACAAAGAGCCTAGTAGCAGATTACGTGTTTATAGTATGGATATCAGATAAAAAGACATACATTTTAATACCAAATTTCCATGTTTCTAAGGTGCCACTAATTGTAAGATGTTCTGTCTATTTTATGATGCTCTGAGAAGGAAGGGCAGGAAAAGAAAGGATTACATTAAATGTACATAATAATTATGAGATGTTTCCTAGTTTTGAGGTGTCAACATGTGAAGGAGGAATAGGCATCTTGGAATTGTGGAAATTTGGTAATTATCTTCGGTAAGGTTCATCAATTGATGAGCAGTCCTGAAGGTAATATTTCATAAAATGTTAATAAATAAAAGCCCAGTTATTTAATCTGAGTACTCATCTGGTTGGATATAATCATGAGATTTAACAAGTTTAGGTCTAGATTCTAAAATGAGTAATTCTGGATGAAAGCCTAGATGTAGTTAACACATGACATGTATATATTTTTAGTGCCATTTTGAAACTGACAGTTGGTTTTTTTTTTTTTTAATTCAGTCTTTTGTTCATTATTCAAGTCATCTAGTTACCTAATGAGTTGTCTTATTTTAACATGTATTTATTGAACTGTTGAAATGAATGTTAGACTCTGCCTTGCAGGAAGATATTGACAATGCAAGAAAAAGCAAAATTTAAGACTGAAGCTTTGATTGCATATCAAATTTGGTGATAACACTTGGTTAGTATGGGTTCCTTAATGGTGGTAAATGAAAGAACAACTACAAAGAAAGTGAAGTTTCTGAGCAGTATTAATAACCAAGTTCTGAATTACATGGAACCTTTCTTACATTTCACTGATTAAAAATCTGCCCACTAAGGATAACAGATACTCAAAACAAAGGAATTAGAGAATAGGACAAAATGCATTTATTAAACCAGCATTGTACACTATCATCGAGCACTTTGTATCTAAACAGCTATTTGTTCTTGATTCTAGAGTTATTTAATTCAAAGGGAGGTTGAAAAGACAAATATTGTCATAAAGATTGGGGTTTTAGTCTTATCTCTGGATTGCTTGAAATAATATGTTACAGATTCTTAAGACTGTTATGACACTATTTCTTTTGCCTTTTAGTCTACTTTGTAAAGTTAAAGAGAAATTTTTATTTGAATAGTCCTTTGGATCAAATAGCATGTGAATGAGCTCAAGGAGAGACATGAACTTGGTGTCACATATGTAAAGCTCAATCAATGACTACTGTCCCACTCTGTCAGCTCTCTGAGAGATACAGTGTGCAGTGCAGATCCAGAATACTGAATGCATAGTAAAATAGTTCCTATACACAATTCCCTCCTAAGCCATCTTAATTTCTTGACCATTGTATGTATTTTCTCAATACAAACTTATTTCCAAAGACATGCTATTTAAAAATCTTGCAGAGGGGCCATTTACTGAAATGAAATCTTCAAAAAGCAGCCATTACTGGCAAAATGGATGCAGCTAACAAAGATGACAGTTCATCTTTACATCTCTGTCTTTATGTGCATTCATTGCCTTCATACATATATGCATATGAGTATATTTATATATCATATACATATATGGAATCAAACATATACATAACCAACCCTCTGTGTTTATAATTCATCATGAAGAAAAAATGGATTCCCAAAATTCCCTTGCCCCAGAGTCTATGGAAATATGGTCTGAGAAGGTTTCTGTTATAAAGAAAATAAGCACCCCGACAGAGTTTTGAAAGTCTCATGAGAGTAGAAAGCTTTCCTTGCCTTGCCTTCTTTGGTATCACCCAGTATTTCTGATGAGGTCGCCTTTCACATATGAACTGGACAGTGGTTTTAAATGATCACTTTCTCAGAATGCACTGTGCTTGGACACAAATTGCTCTTAGGTGATCGTCTGTGTAAAATAGGTAGGTTCCCAAATTTCAGCCATCGAGAAGGTGAGGCCACTTCTGAAGACACTGGTCCTTTTAATGCAACAGTATTTCTCATCTGACTTTGAACAATAGACCAAGCATTCTGGCTCTGGCCTAGTGTGTTAATCAGGCACTGAGATGTGTAATTAAATATTTCTTGAGTCCAGAGGGAACACATTTACACTTTAAAGAGAAACTGCTAAGCTAAGAGATAATTAGCATCACATGTGAGGGCTTTGCTTTAAAAAAAATATATATATCTATCTATATCTATTATTCTCTCACTTCTTGCTGTGTGCAATGGCATTTACTAACGCTGCTCACTGTAAAAATGGACAAACCCTTACTTTGCCAGCTAATTAGCGGTGGCCAGTGTCATTTTTGTGATGTTGCAGCTAGTAATATGAGCCCAGTTGCATAGTCACAAAAGTGATCATTGGAAACTGTGACTCTGCTGCAGGGACAATGTGGGAAACCCCTTTTCTGAGCCTCTAACGACCTCTGACCTTTGCTTGCTGATGGTTTGCATGATGATTTCTTTTTCACTCAGTGACCCATGGGTTGGTTTGTATTACTAATCATTCTTTCTCAGTTAATTCCTCCTGTTGAAATATATAATATTATCTTTTTTTTTTCTTAATGTTTGAGACCTTTTGCTTACTGGTGATTTGTTCTAATAGAATAAAATAAGACAGTTATGTTTTACTTATTTTCATAATTATCTGTAGCCTATATCTTAGCTCAACTGAATGAAAACTTTTGCTGAATATGTGATGGTTTTGCTTTTTTATTTGTGATGTTTCAAGTTGTAATAACACAGTATATGATTCTTTTGTAAATAAAACTAAAAAAAAAAATAGCGCCACATGGTATTTATACGACATGTCTCCTTGATTGTCTATGATTGTTTGTAAATAAGTTTAGCATGGGGCTGGGGCTGGTGTGTATATTAAAATTACAGCGAAACCTTCCTAAACCCTGCTGAAGCAGCCAGTCACAACATGTTGCAAAAAAATAAATAAATAACATTTTCAGTATACCATACAATAAAGACTGGAATTATGGAAGTGGAGAAGCAAATTATAGAATTATAGCCACATTAGCTAGTAATTAGCTTCTTAGCAACATTTCTTAGCAAGGGAGGCTATTCTTAATTAGTTTTGTCAAAGAAGGAGATGACCAGCTGTAAATGGGATACTATTGTTCTAGGGCCTTTACAGTTGTATCTTCTGGAACCAGTACATTTTAAAGAAGAATATCTGGTAGTTGTGTTTATTTCTTTTTTAAGGTATTGTTTTCATATTTCGTCCATCAGAAAAAAAAAAAAAAAATGAGCAAAACCTGGCCACTGGCCAGCGTATGAACATGTAGAAGTTTAGCTTTGTTTCTACATACGCAGGTCACACCATCCTGTATGAAATATAACAGAATGTTAGAAGCACAGAACTGAGGTAGTTCCCTGATCACATTGAAAAGTTAGTTAATAAGACATTCCCAGTAAATTCTTCTATATGAAGGTGAAAAGCATTTAAAAGCAAAGCTACTCTAGATTTGGTTTGGCACTTAAGCCTACTTGCTTCTACACATACATTCCCAGAGTTTGGAATCTGTCTTACCAGAGCATAAACTTACATTGCCTTTACAACCTGGGTAAAGAATTGGGAGATTTTAGAAGTCAAGATGAGTGGATCTGTTTTCCAATGTGTTTTATTATCAAAGAGCCAAGAACTTTTAAGGCATTCTGGCATGCAAGTACTGTTGATTTTAATAAGAGTTCATTTTTTACTTTCTCCCTTTCTCCCCCCAATCCCCCCCCCCCAAATAAAACAAAACTCTTAACATTGCAGAGAAAGAGAGAGAGAGCTCTAGCAGAAATAGAAATGTAACCATCAGTGCACTGGGTAGCTTGTTCTCTCTCTGTTTCTGAGCTTTCTCAATTTTAAAAGCATTTTTACATGTTCTGCAGACTTTAATGTGCTGCATATTTTCACAGCTCAGAGAATAGCCATAGATCATATGTCACCAGGGAATGGAAATTTTACAATGACCAATCCATAGGTGTTGGTTTATCTAGTGTACAGCCCTGTTCCTTCAAGTTACTTTTGCTATTCAGATTGGGCACCTTAGGTGATGCAAACTGTTAACATGATCAGCTGCTAACCAGAAGGTTAGAGGATCAAGCTATACAAAGGTGCCTTGGAAAAAAAGACCTAGAGATGTACTTTCAATAAATCAGCCACTGAAAACCCTATGAGCACAGTTCTACTGTGACACATATGGGGTCTCTATGAGTCAGAACAGAGAAGTTAGGAGGGAAAAAAAAAAAAAAAAAACTCTGTTTTGAACTATGTGATATTAAAATATCTACTTGATTCATCAATTACTACACTCAGCTTCTCCCTTTCACACCCATTGCCACTTCAGTTTCTTCTTGGCTTCGGAATTCTGTAGACAAAGCAACCAGTTGATTGAACGTTCACTTTTAGCTGACAGTTTTGATGCTAAATAGGTAGGCCTTTACAAAGAAAGATGACATTTCCCATTTCTGTTCTAAGGAATTAAAAAAAATTCTGTATTGTCATTTCTTTTTTTTCAAATTTTACTTCCTGAAGTCAGGAAGAAATTAGTACAGCACGTTGTAGAACATACTCCCTCACACATTATTTTCCTTCCAGTAAACCAAGGTCCTGTCCTTCATTTTCTTTGTTCAGGAATATTACTGAGAATTTTGATGCACTTTGTAAATATTTTTAGTTATTTCACTGAATGAAAAACTTAAAGCTTATGTGATGAATTTAAAAACAGACCTCTATTTTAAGTTAAATCTTAAAATTGGCTATTGTTCATTATCATATCTCTGTCTATAATCTACACAATGGAATTATTTTAAAACACACTCAAAAATCAAAGGTTCATAAAATTAAAAGATTTCTTTTGACTTAGTTGAGGTTTCTCTGTAATTTAGATATCCTTACAAAGAAATTGACACATTAAAAATATACTCTTTAAAATGGAACTTTAAGATGCTATGTTTAGACAATACAGTAATACTAGATTCCAGTATAATATTTAGACTGTAAGAAATTTTGACATCACTTGCAAAACTAAAAAATTGTAGTGATTAACATAGACATTCATATCACAACAAAAAGAGCAACTAAACCAAAAAAAATGAAAGACAGGGAGAAGGAAAGGTTGAGAGAAAGAGAGAAATTGGGGTGGGAGGAGGGTAAGATATATGATCCATTGACCAAAGACTTGAGTTCATACTTGTAAAAGGGGGAAAAACAACTTTGTGAAAATGTAAGAATTGTTTTTAAAGCTTTGTTTAATACTTAATATTGAAAAGAAAAATAAATCTTTGAAAATGTGTGTGTAATTTGTTTGCATTTTGTTTGTCAAAAAGACTCCTGTGAAGTAATTTTAATGATATGGTCTATTTGCTTTGGCTTACTGGTTATTTTGGATAACATAGAGTCATAGTACATAAGTATAATTTTTATGTCTCTTTTTATTTCAGAAAAGTAAACAAGTGCTACAGGGGCCGTTCTTGTCCAATAATTGTTCATTGCAGGCAAGTACAACTTTTAACATGGATTAAGAAGATGTTGCTACTTCAGAATACAAACTATACAATTAAATATAGAAGTTGAACTTTCTAATTGCTTCATAAATATATTGAAATTGTACTTACTTCTAAAGAAAACCAGAGACATAGTTTTCCACTTATTTCATTATACGTATGTAAACTGCCCAATGTCTGTTTTCTTTCTGTCAAACCACAGTGCTGATTACTGCTGTAATCTACTTTCAGATGTCCTACCACCTTATTTTTCTTTCAAACCTCATGGTGCCACAACACAGAAAGTTCAAGACAGTATTTTTGATATATTACATTGTCTCAACTACTCTGTGCAGAAAGTGAGAAAAGACTGCATCATGCACTTTGGGTCAGTTATGAACAGGCACAAACTCTGTAATTACAGCACTGACCAATTCCCTGTTTATGATGTAAATCTAGGATATTGGATGAAATTTCAAAGGATTATATCCTCAAGTAGGTTAAAGTCACATCATTAAGAAGAGATCCAGTCAAAGAAAATTTAAGTTAATGGCACTCTTCTCCTTAGCTTGATGCTCAACTATTTTTGGTAAAGAACTTGTACTTAATTTTTTTTGCTTTGGGTCAAAAGGAAATCTGCCCCCAAAGATCAAACACCAAGTCAGTCAGTTCAATCAAGAAACAAATGTGTCTGTCTGTCTTTCTGTCTGTGTAAGAGAAGAGGATAAGACGAAAGTGTGTTTTGGAATCCTCAAAAAGTAGACTAGAACCTTTTTTTTAAACCTATGAATATAAGTAAAAGCTGCAATTAATTGGAAACTTTTTGTAGTGTATCTTAAAATATTCAGGTGAATATATGTTAGCAAAGAAGAGAAGTAAGAAAAACACTCAAAAACAGGAAAACTAACTGCAGTCATTTGTAATAAACCTTGAGGATTAAATGGTAGACGAGGTTTGGTGCTTACTCTTCTTTAATGATGCAGTGAAGATGTATGTATATTATGAAAGGACAATTTGTGAAATATTTATCTGTCTCCAGTGTACCTTTCTCGCCATTTACTTCAGGAAACATGTTAAAGCCAAATGCAGTGATTCTTTACTGTCAAAGATCAACCTATCAGCTTACCTATGATTCCTCAGAATTACAGGCCAACATGCAAATTAGAAACTGAAAGCAAAATGATTTGTCATTTAATCACGTAATTATTAAAGTCCCGAGGTGGATTTTTTTTTTTTTTTTGCCCCTTAAAGTCACGATTTATTTTTCTAGGAGTATAAATAAGAATAGTACTTCATTTAAAAGCCAGTCATGGATGTGGAAACAAGCCCTATTGGATTTACAGGATCTCTCAAACTCATGTAACTCAGTGACAAGCTACATAAGGAAAAGAAATGGTTGAACACATTCCTTATTTTTAAATAGTTTTTTGAAAAAGATGTTAGTGTTACTTTTCTCCCAGAAAATCTGTCTATCTATCTATCTTCTTCTTCTTCTTCTTCTTCTTCTTTTTTTGCTACTGTTTAGACACAAGTCAAAACATTTTTACAACTTTAGTCCAGATGGTAAATATTCCAATTATAGCTGGTGGGATGAGGAAGAAATGAAACCAGTGCGTTTTTTAAAGAATATGATTAAGTAAAAAATGATATGTATATTTCTACCTCCTAGAGGGAGTGACACAAATTAGAGAGGGGAGGGGGTACAGCCCATGACTGATCTGCCCAGATGGAAGCTTCCGCCATCACCAAAGGCTGACCCACCAAGTAGCCTGCCTTCTTTGCTGGGTGGGTTATCCAATAATCATAGAAAGTATCCAGCACATATTTTAAATACAAATGCCATCAACTCTGAAATAGTCAAACATTTCTTTAATATTTCAGTTTCTTTTTCTGGCAAAATTTACCATGTCTTTGGCCAAAAAGGGGAAGAAAGAAACAAATATAGACATGCAATAGTTAATCCCTTCAGAGCTGCCAGGATGAAAGATTTGTTTTCTCTTTCCATGTCTTCTTCTGCTTTCTTATGTCTTCCTACCCCTGTGATTCTTTCCTACCCACTTTCTTCTTATTTCTTTCCAATTCACAACCTTCCTTTCCTCTGCTGGCCCCACTTAAGCATAGAATGAAGTGAATTGTTACTATCTGTTTTGTGTGTTTGGTTTAACTGTGTGTGGATAGCATTTTCATTTTCTCTCCTTCTGTTGACAGTGACGGTGCAGGAAGAAGCGGCACCTACGTGCTGATTGACATGGTTCTCAATAAGATGGCCAAAGGTGAGATTCAAAAGCCTGGTTTGCTTTGTTGTGGCTGAGAGATGTGATGGTGTTGCTATGGCAACATAGGGTGTAATATTCACAGAAGGCCTTCAGAAAAAATTAGAGGATTGTTGTCCCTTTCCTGAATCTTATTAAAGTTATTTGCAGCAAACACATTTTTTGAGGTTCATCCTTTGTTACCAGGCTCTACCTAGTATCTCACACTGTGCATAGCACTTAGTAGGTGCTTGATAAATATTTTTTGAATGGATTATGATACGAATATCAATATTGTGAAGAATGCAACCTTTGGATTTTTAAATGTTGTAGTAGTTCAGAATATCCTTTAAATGTTTTGTAAAAATCGTCACTGGTATTTAAAACTGTATTTGTAGAGCACTCTTTACATTTCAAGGGCACTCTGGTAGTGCAGTAGTTAAATCGTTGGCTACTAACTATAAGGTTGATGGTTTGAACCCACCAGCTGCTCTGCAGAAGAAAGATGTGGCAGTCTCCTTCTGTACAGATTTACGGCCTTGGAAACCCTATGACAATGGTGTTCTACTCTGTCCTATGTACAGGGAATTGGAATGGATTCAGGGTCAGTGGATTTTATTTAGATTTCATTCTAGATTTTCACCATTAATCTTAAAATTACTGGTAGTAATTATCTTTGGGTATAAATCACCATATAGCAAATAAACCTGATGAAAAGGTTTGTTTTTTTAAGTTTTAATTGTGATTTGAATGAAAGCTTATAGAGCAAAGTGGTTTTCCATTCAACAATTTATACACCTTTTGTTTTATGACATTGTTTGCAGTTGGCACAGTGTAACATCACTCTTCTCACTTCCTCCTTGTGTTTCCCATTTCCATTTGTTACTGTTGTTTTTGACGTCTTGTTGTCTAAGTGAATCTACTTGTATTCTTGGAGGAGTGAGCCTAAAGTATGTTTTGGCATCCTGAAAAATTAGAATAGCACTTTTTTAAATATATAAAGGTAGGTAAAAGCTGCAATTTCCTCTCAAAGACAGTGCACAGTATCTTACACTCAAAGCATTACAGTATTACAAGTTTTAGAAACCACACAGTACAACAGCAGTGTATGGAGGACAGAGTGATGAATTTGGTTCCAGTTCTGCTGATGAGTAGTTTTAACCTCTCCCAGTCCCAGCATCCTCTTGTGAAAATTCGAGAACAAGCTAATCTGGCATTTCTCAAATTATAGTCCACAGAATGCCAAACCTGAAAGGTAATTGCTTTTTAAAAAAAGAGGCCAGAGAGAGAGAGAGCTCCATCATCAAATAAGTTTGGGGAAAGATTCCTATTCAGTCCATCTCTTGGGGAATCTTGATGCACATTAGCATAATAAAGTCCTTCAGCAAAGAAACTTGTTTAGTTTCTTTAACCCAGCATTTTCTAAACTTAGTTGACAAGATAATTTGTTCTCTTTGTAACATGGTAATATCCCACAAAACCAGGGTTCTTTGGGACAGATGTTAGGAAACATGGAAATGGGTGATATTTTATGGTTTCTTTCCCAACTGTGAATAAATCTTTCTGTCTCAGGACACACACACATGCACATATGCACACGTATGTATTTAAGTATAGACATTCAAAAACATCTTGGGCACGCACCCATTTTTTCATTCTTTCCTCACCAATAGTAGAAGATCATGAATATGGAAATGAGATTCTATACATTTTCACACAAATTCCAACGTAGTCATTTCCCTTACTTTTACTTCTGGTAAAAGATATCCCACCTCTTTAGCCCAAGGATATAGATGTAGAAAGGTAAAATAATTAGCCCATAGTTCTACACATCAGTACTGGAAAACTTAAGTTAATTATCTGAAGCCCCACATTTACTTCTACCGGCCTGGAACCAATGCCTGATCTAGTGTTCATTCTGCCACCCCTCACCTGCTGTCTCCAGGCTTCTGTCACAGGCTGCTGGGGAGAACATGAAAGAAAATTCTTTGCAATTGGTTTTGTAATCCCAAATATTATTTTTGTCACTCTAAATTAATTCAATGCTGGAGATACAAAAACAAAGAAAAAAATGAACATGGACATGCTCTGATAGTGTTTTAACAGTATTTTGATTTTTAGGGAGTGACAATCCTGACTTTTGTAGTTCAAAATGCATTTTCTTACTTGCCTATTAATGCTGTTATGTTTCATCAAATATGTTTTTTCATTTGCAGATACCACATTCTTGAGCATATCATTATCAATGGGATTTATATTTCCAGCCCTTATTGTCTACCATTCCTTCTCTATCTCTCATGCACATGATTATTTTTCGTCTGTGAAACCTAAGAGTCTCCAGAACAATATAAACTTTTTCACTTAAATGTTGTACATTTGTTTGTACATGCATGTTACAAACGTGTATATTTGTAAAACAACGTGGCACGATAAACTACTTGATACATACCCATTTCAAATGGAAACTTGATCTTACAAATGAAAGGAATGGACGTAAGTGACACAGATGCTTACATTGTCTTGATTTTGGATTATTTTGGTCTCCACCAAAATGATGTGATACAACCTGGGTTTCATGTATATGCACGTTACTTTCCACAGACAAGGAAATGCAAAATATGCTCCAGTTTCGGGCTTTCGGCCACTTAAGGAAGGGTTGACTTTATTGTTTGAGCATTGAAGAAAGCCATTTATCGCCTCCATTGTACCATGTAATGTCAAATTCCATTTCAAGTGTGGGCCTAGCCTTAAACAATACAAAGCCAGTCATGTGAAACTGGCCAAAGAGGGGAGTCACGGGGTTTTTCTTAAGATTGGTCACCCCCCATTTTGCTCTTGACCTGCTCCCCTTTGCTGATGTGGTGTGCAGTGGGAAATCCCTTGACCTGGAGCCTGGGCCAGGGCTGCATCCAAGATCAAAGGGCAGAGCGGGCATCTCCGCCCGGCCGAGGTGGGCCTTTCCCAGGCCGCCACACTGTGAGGCAGCCAAGGGTTTTGTTCTGGCAGGAACCAAGGCCTGGCCTGTGAGGCCTGGGCCGTCTTTGTCTGGCCTGAGAAGTTTGAGGCCCAGGTTGCCGATGCAGTGTTCATCAAATGATCAAAGGCCCAAAGGCCTGGACATGAAACCTTTCTTCCCATTTCCTTTTCTGAAAAAGAATGAATTGCATGAGGACCAAAGAATGCCATTTCCAAAGCTTTTATGTGCAATGCTAGACTAACGCTAGAGTTCTTCAATTCTCAACGTAAGAACCTAAGTGCACTTACAGGCGGGGCCCAGCTGCACCAGCAGACGGCGTCCACTGCATTTCTTTCAGAAAGGCTTTTAAGGATTAAGGCCTTTGCTCTTATTTTAAGGGCTTTTAGGAATAAACTTAGAATAATTTAAGTCTTTTTCCACTGTCTTGTTTATTAGCAAGCAGACAATAATGCATTTTGAAATCAAAGTAAATAGGCATCCTACACTGGGAAAGTCGGTAGCAGTCTGTAAAATACTTTTGCATGTTCATTATTTCTGTTGCTGTGCCTGCGTTTCTAAGGAATAGTTAATATTTTGCATCACATTTTGTTTTTAGGCAGAATATCCCTCTCTTGTGGAAGGGCTCAACACCAATGTATCAGAAATACTTTTTCTGCCAAGATGTTTCCCAAGGTTGTGTTTTATTTTTCATTCCTCAGTGGCATCTTTTGACCCAGCATTTCTTCCTGTTTCATAACAGTTCTTTAAAGGAATGGAGAGCTGTAGGCCAATAGTGAAAATTCCCAAAGATAACATTTGCTGGGCCAGGCCCAGTGGAGCGAGTAAGCTTCGCTTACCATGGGGGCGATCACAGAGATGCACCTGTTGAAAGAGTCTCACACATTCACCAGATTCCCCAGCAGGATCTGTGTTTGGACAGGGGAGAAGAAATTTGAAAAGGTCACAAGATACTACCAGACTAACTTGCTGAGTAAACACATTCCAATTCCCCGGTTGCTATTGTTATACAAAAAGCCCTAGAGGTCTGTTTTTTGTGTGTGGTTATTTTCTTTTCTTTCTTTTTTTTTTTGGAGACCCTTTAGTTTGGCAGGGACGACAGGAAGAGAATTTCATTTTGCAACATGAATCTCTAACTGTTATACATAGAAGTGCCGGTAGTTGCCTTTTAGGCTTATATTAACCAAGAACACTTTCCTAAGTAATCAAATTGTGTGAATGTGAATGGACAGTGAGTTGCTCACATGACCATCTGTTGTTGTTGTTATGTGCCATCGAGTTGGACCTGACTCATAATGACTCCTCCTTGGGTTTCCGAGGCAGTATCACTATAGAAGTAGATTGCTCAACCTTCCTTCCGAGGAGTGGCTGGTGGGTTTGAACCTCCAGCCTTCTGGTTAGTAGTCAAGTGCCTTAGGCACTATGCTACCAGAGCTCCTTTCATCCCCAGTAGTTTAATCTGGTTTACTGTCTCCTGTGTGTCCATGAATAAACATCTCGTGGGATAAGGTTAGAGCAATAGATCTGGGTTGTTGGGTTTTCTTTTCCCCTCTGCTTAGTTGTCTGTTACATATTTGTCACTTGACCAAATGCTACATTTCAATTTTATTATGCTGTTACATAGAGATCCTTACCCACACAAGGAACTGATTTTATAAATGATGAAGTCTACAGGCCCCCTGACCATGTTTATCATTTGCCCGACTCTATTTTTGTCTTCCATTCATAGCTTCTCCCAGCATTTTGCCCTTTTTAGGTAGCAGAAATGCAAGAGCACCAAAAATAATACTCACTCCCATTTCATAGGTGAGTTGTGAGGATGAGCTGAGAGTGTTTATGGAAAGGGCTTCCCCCACACACATCTCACCCAGAGTTGTTGCTGAGGAAATAGGTAGTTTCCCTTTGTGACTACCCATGTGTGTGTTTGTTGTGTCCATAGCTGAGCAACAAGTGCATGACTTTTATGGCCTGATTTTGCAACTCATTGATCACATTATTTTGTAAATTGTTCTGAGTTTTAGAAGCCCACTGTTCTAACTGAGCACTT